GAATCATTTGCTGGACAAATACAGCAAACATGAAAACACAATGTGTGTGTGTGTGTGTCTAACAAAGCATAATTGTTTCCCTCTGTCATAATCTCAGGTTGCCACGGCAACAGACAAAGGCAACGGGTGCTGAATAACTGTGAATACAGAGAGAGACAGAGAGAGAGAGAGAGAGAGAGAGAGAGACACCTGTCTGTCACGTGACTCTCATCATGCAGGTATCGTGAGACAGGAAGTGCACCTCTTACCTAGAAACAACAGCAATAACATGTTTGAATGACAGTTTAATTTGAAACACATCATGAACAACAGGCAATGAAACATTAGAACACAAAGATCATTTCAACATACAGACATCATCCAATGAGAAGTCAGGAGACAAAATCTGTCCAATCACAGCTCAGCAAAGTGCTGACAGGTGAGGCATTTGCTACATCATGAAATCTGTTGTTGTTTTATTACAGCAGTATCCTGGCAACAAAAACATGGTGGGGTGGGGTGGGGGTGGGGGTGGGGGTTAGGATTAGTGGACTCAGAGGTGGACTCAGAGGTTCAGGGAGGACAGGAGGACGTTGTGAATAGGAGGTCATTGTGGACTCAGGGGTTCAGGGAGGACAGGAGGTCATGGTGGACTCAGGGGTTCATGGAGGACAGGAGGAGGTTGTGGACAGGAGGTCATGGTGGACTCAGGGGTTCAGGGAGGACAGGAGGAGGTTGTGGACAGGAGGTCATGGTGGACTCAGGGGTTCAGGGAGGACAGGAGGTCATGGTGGACTCGGGTTCAGGGAGGACAGGAGGAGGTTGTGGACAGGAGGTCATGGTGGACTCAGGGGTTCAGGGAGGACAGGCTGGTTCTGATGTTCAGACTTGATAAATATTTGAGCCGTAACGATATGTTTGAATTCTAAGTGTTTCAAGTAGTTCAGCTTGTGGTCCAGCAGAGGGAGCTCTATTGATCCACCAAAGAACTGATCACTGGACGAGGACAGTATTGATTAGGTGAGGACAAAGAAGTAGTCTGGGTCCTTTATGGAAATGGGAACATGACCAACAAAGGTGAGTCTGTGATTCTATTTGTGGACTCACCTGCAGCTTCAGCCCAGGTGAGACTGCATGTAGACCCTGGTGTCATCCTCAGGAGCCAGATGCTTGAAAACCGTCAGACATAAGAACCAGATTCATATGAACCAGACCAGGTTTTCAGCTTCATCACACAACTGACAGTCTGAAGACACAGTGTGAAGACACACAGTATGAATATAAACAGTGAGAAGACAAACAGTCTGGAGACTTCTTAGACTCCTTAGAGCTTGCAAGATCTAGAATCAGTTCTGATAATCAATTATCTCTATACTAAGAGTTGAAGGAGAGACAGGTCTGAAAGTGAGACAGGCAGACAGATGAACAGACAGACGGACAGACGAACAGACAAGTCTTTTTGTGCTCTGATTCTTTTTTAAGACCAGGTTATTCCAGTTCAATGTGTCCCAGTTCCTTTATCTTGCTAAGATTTCGTCCCGTCCGAGTTCTGGACCAGTTCAGCAGGTCCACATGACTTCAGTCCACGACAGAGACCAGCTGATGCTGCTAGTCCTCCCCCATAAAACAACAAACAAGGACAGAACCACTCAGATCCAGTTCCATAGCTAGTCCCAGTCACATGTCTGGTGTCAGTCAGTCTCTCTGGTTTCGGTATGATCTCAACAGAACCAGCAGAGTCTGAAACCAGGATCCACCAATGAGAGCCAACACAGGATCTGGTCCTGTATGAGTTCTACAGAGGTTCAGTTCTCATCTCATCTTCTTCAGTCTGGCTCTGTTCTCCTTGTCCCGTTTGTTTAAGGATGTGATGTAATGGTTGAAAAGGACTTCCTGTTCCTTTTTCCTGTTGAGGGCATTGAAGCGCTGGTCACCACGGTAACGAGCGCAGAACTCCTTAAAAGTTGATCTGCAGTGGAAAAATAAAGACAAACATTGACGGTTGAGATCAGAGTGAAACAGGATGATGATGTCATCTGACAGCTGGATAAACACCTGCCAGTCCAGGTGAGGAGGTGGACTAAGGTCAGAGCCAGATGAATGATGGACGACTAATGTGGTGAATGATGAACGAGTGAATGAGTGATGTAGTGAATAATGAATGAGTGATACCTGTTGGAGATCTTGGCCTCCTCCAGCAGCTGCCTGAACTCTTCTCTGGCTTTCTGCAGTTTACTCTTATTCTCTTTGTACTCGTCCTTCACCCTGCTCTTCACAAACTGATCAAACACCTGCACACACAGGTAACAGTGATGTATTAGTGACATCATAAAGGTATAACATCATGATCTCATGCTGCTGGTTGCTAAGAGGTCAGAGAGACTCAGGAAAGCTCTAATGAACCTGTTTCCTCTGATCTGAGGTCAGCAGCAGGTAACGAGGGTCAAACACCATCTTATGGAGCTCCTTCTCCCAGGTTGAGAACGCCGACACCTGTGAGGGGTGGGGGTGGCGGTGAGTGTATACACAGTATACAACATTAGAACATTACTTATTCAGTTTCAGTGTTTCTGAAATTAAAGCAAAAAAAAGAACTCTGTTGTTTGTTCTACAGTGAAAATCAGTCACTGTTTAGAAAGTGCGTCCAACTCTGTTGCCGTAGTTCCCACTAATGTATCACTTTCTGCTTCAGTCCAGTTCATCCAAGACCAGCTCCATGGGGTTCAGGTCTTGACACTGGTCTTATCTTGTAGCTCATTATGTTGCTGTAGGATGAACCAGTCTGTCTGTTTCCCTCCTCTCTGAAATCACTGTGCAGTCCTACTTCCTGCAGTACAGTGTTGTCATGGTGATGATTAGAGGGTGTAGTCACACAGTTTGTTCAGACAGAGGGTTTGTCATCATCAGCCTGGAGGAGGCGTGTGTGTGTGTGTGTGTGTGTGTGTGTGTTACCCTTCGCTCCAGCATCATTTCTCTAAAGTGAGCAATACGTAACTCCAGCGGGAGGAGCTGCACTTCTCCTGGACGAGGGACGAGCGACATCGGCTCCTCTATTCTGGAGATAGAGAGAGAGAGAAAACCCTGAACACTGACCAATCACATGGCTCAGTCATGATGTCATTAGCTGGTCAGAAGCTCTCTGATTGGCTTGGTCAGACTCACCTGTTCCTCTTGGAGCTGTGTTCATGTTCGTCATCTTCATCGTTACCGTGGAGACGAGATGACTGACAGCTGGAGCTCCTGTCTGTCAGAAAGAGACCACAGACAGGTGAGGTGACAGACAGGTGAGAGGAAAGACAGGTGATGTGAGAGACAGGTGAGGTGACAGACCAACAAGTGTCTTCTTCCTCTTGTGGGGTGGGTCTTCAATGATGCGGCTGATGTCTCGGCCAATCAGATCCCCTGGTCTCTCCCAGACGGACAGGTGGATTGTGGGGTTGAAGAAGAAGACCCGGTCGTCTCCCGTCCACACCACACACCTGAACACATACATTCACACACAGTACTGGTCCAGGTACTCCAGACTCCCAGGTAATCATAAACCACATGAAGACTGGATGGACAGACTCAGATGAACTCTCCAGGATCCACTGATCCAGGACAGAATCCACAACAGTCCTGCTGAATCTCAGGTTCAACAATCAGCCAGAGTCTCCTTTCAACAGGGAGGCTAGATATGTCCTAAAAACGTAGACCACCACCCCAGTCTGCCAGTTCTCGGTCCTGTCTGGTCCTGTCCTTAGCCTACATGAAACAACTAACTAACCCCAACCCTAACACACCAACCAAGACAGCCCAACAAAGTCCAGAGCTTTCAGCAGCTCCGGTGACTCTCATCAATATCTGGTGTCACATTTCCAACTCTTGCTCCTTTAGGGGGACAACTCAGTCCACTTCAGAAGGGCCTCAGAGCACCCCCCTCCTTTCTGCTCATCTACACTGAACCAGTCTAGATCTGGACCTGTCTAACCACAGACTGTCAATTCACTGCAAAAGCATGCTGGGTAAAATGGGTTCAGCTGTGACAGACAGACAGACAGACAGACAGACAGACAGACAGACAGACAGACAGACAGACAGACAGTAAAACCTCTTTTTTCTCAGTTTATGACATAAACACAAACAGCCAAACACACAGACACTATGTTGGTCTGCATCTGTTCTCGGTTGTCATGGTAACACCCCTGAAGGAAGCGGGTTAAACCTCACTGCTGTACATCAGAGACCATCAGAGTCCATCAGACCATCAGACCATCAGACCAGAGACAGGAAGAAACATTCAGAAGACCAATGTTTTGAACTTTTTAAACCAAAAATGAAAAACAAATCAATATTCATCAATAACAATAAACTGTACAGTATGTATGTGTGTGTGTATGTGTGTGTGTGCGCGTGTGTGTGCATCAGTGCAGTAGTTACCATGGCGACCCTGGAACAGGAGTGGAGGCGACAGGACGTTTGTCTTTCCTTTCTCGTTCACTTCCCTCCTCCTCTTCATCTTCCTCTCCTCGGTCAACACAAACAAACTGCAACACACACACACACACACACACAAAATCTACAACCTGATTTAAGAACAGTGAATCAGCCATTTAATAACCATCATCATCATAGTTGAATAGAATGATCAGTGATCAATAACCTGCTGATCATGTGACATGGACACTAAACAGGACGAGGGGCCAAAGGGATCAGTGGCCTCTGGTTTGAAGTGGCTGTTAACGTTTCTTGATGGGAAGAGTTCAGTTAAAAGTAGAGATGAACTGATCGATTTAATATTGATTATCTGCCAATCAAATCTAATCCAAACGTGTTCAGTTGTGACTGAGACCACAGGAACATTTCATCAACATACAGTCACGCTAGTAAAGAGGTTTCAATCAGCTCTGTAGTGTTTAGCTCAGCTCACATTTACCTGGTGACCCCTAACCCTCCAACAGTGACACGGCTGAAGTTTGAAAGGAGGACTTCAGTTTCTATGACTGTGTTAGTATTTTACTGAAGAAAAGGATGTGAACCAGCAGAGATCCACTGACTAAAAACCCTCTGACTGGTTTGTGAAGACTCACCTGTTTGTTGTCCGTTGTTCTCTCTTTCCTCAGCAACAATGCTCCTCCATAAGAAAGTTTACCTCCACCCATCCCTCGCTTCTCTGATACACAGAATAAAATTTATGTACACTTGAATTCACATGTTGAAGTTTAGTGTTTCTTCACTTCAACTGAGATAAACAGATGTTTCTAGTTAAATCAGGTTTGGTCTGGTTTTAACACACCAACATTTAAATTAAATTGATCAACAAAATCATAATTTCTTCAGTTTGTGTTTCCCCTGTTTCAGTTACCATGTTCCAGGCAGTCCTGTGGACTCTCTCAGTTCGACTGAGAAAAGATCTTAAACTGACAACATGTGACAGGTGAACAGGCGTCCTCTGGCAGCAGAGACATGCTCATGTGACTGTGAAGTCAGAAGCCATCAGTGATAAAATCAGGAAGTCAGAATCAGACTTTCTAACTCTGCAGACTAACATAACCCTAACCCAACCTAACCCTAACCCACCCAACCCAACTTAACCCTAATCTACCATAACCTAACCTAACCCTAACCAAACTAATCCAACCTAGCCTAACCCAACTTCTATGGACCCCCGGATTATTTAATTTTTAGAACTTGTAGTCTTCAGACCCCGCCCACTGTGACTCAGGTGACCACAATGGTCGTCCCCACCACAGGACGTTTATCAGACATCACACTGCTTCAACTTTTAATATTTCAGTTTATGTTGATGTGAGACACAAGTCAACACAGACCTACAGGCAGACAAGCAGAGAGACAGACAGGTCTTACTGTGTCTGTAGTCAGTCACCAGAGTGAATCTAGAAGACACCTGTGAGGCGAAGATGGAGGGATGATCTTCTTTCATCACCTGAGAGAGAGAAAGAGTGAGTCTCCTTTCAGTGAAAACAGGAAGTCAAATGGACAGAGACAGAGAGAGAGAGAGAGAGAGAGAGACAGAGAGAGAGAGAGTGAGAGAAATGGAGTGAGAGGAACAGACTCACCTGGACTGGTAAGACAGGACACGTGTCAATGCAGAGCTGAGAGGAAGAGAGAGGTCCAAATACCCACTGCTGTACGAGAGAGAGGAAGAGAGAGACAGTGTGTCTATGTTATATGTCTATGTTCACCTGTCTCACATTTCAGTACACTTCTGCATGGACCTGTCTGTTTCTGTATGGACCCATCTATCTACTTCTGTCCTCTCCTGTCTCTCCTACCACTGCTCTGCTGCTTCACTCCTTCCCTGCTCACCTGGCTGACATCATTCACCTACAGCTCCACCTGGACCAGACTGAGCTTCTCTTCCCCTACCTGATCCCTCCTAAAGTCACATGTGATGGAAGAACTGAACCAGAATGCAGAAAACACAGAAAGGCTGAGGTGGCAAAAATAACAAAGGTATTTTAATAACAAAAGGAAACAAACAAAACTGGTGACACTGCAGAGAACAGGAGTGGAACAGAAGAACATCAGAATCAAACAGGAGAACATCAGGAACAAGATGGGAGAACAACAGGAACAAAACCGGAGAACATCAGGAACAAAAAAGGAGAACATCAGGAACAAAACTGGAGAGCATCATGATTTAATAGGATCCAGCAGACAAAGAAGAAGACAAGAAGCAGAGACTAAATACACAGCAGGTGATTGAACATAAGTGAAACACACGGGGCAGACAATCAACCAGGAGGGAAACACAAGACAGTAATTAAACCAACATGAGACACACAAGAGAAGTGATTTTAAAATAAAACAGGAAATGAATACAAAACCAAGTGTCCATCAGGACAAACCATGACACTACCTCTAGTCCCTGGTCTAAACACTCAGAGAACCCTGTGTGTCCTGGGTCAGACTCTGTTCTGGATCCACAGTGGAGGACTACAGTCAGGACAGCAGAGTCTCTGACCATGTTCTACCTTCACACCCTGAACTGTTGCTCTGGTTTTAGTCTTTGACTTGTAAAAGCTCTCAGTTCTGGATCATATGATAAAGTCATGTGATGTACCTGTGTGGGTGGAGACTGTCTCCTCTCCAGGGAGATGATTGGTCGTAGCAACGCTCCTCTGCGCCGCTGAATGGGCAGAACGAGAGGCCACACTTCCTCGACTCTCTGCGTATGAAGCCCCGCCCACTCCCCATAAGCTCCACCTGCATTATGACATCATCACTTTAGTGATTAATAATTCCTCTTTGATTTTGACATTTTATGGCTTGAGGTGACATCATCTGTTTTCAGTGTTGCTGTCAGTTCAGCAGGTGAACTGCAGTATCTGCAGTTATGACTGAAACACTTTAACCCTCCCCTCCTCCACTCCTACAAAATAAAAGCCTCTCTCAGTCAGACTAAAATCAGGTGAGATTTATTCATGTGCTGAGTGGGACTGTGAGCACTAGGCTAGCAGGCTAACAGTCACAACATTAGCTGTCAGATTCCACTCTCGTTTCTCACCTGTTCAGTCTGAACATATGGTGTGCTGATAGTGATAGTGATGTCATTCACTCATCATTTAACCCACAGTTTGAGTTACAAACTTTGAAAGACATGGCCGTTTACCAGGCAGGGAGACTCTATCCACTTGTATTATGGGAAATGTATCATTCAGTATTTTTGGACTAAAAGTCAGGATCATCTCTACACACACACACAGATCACCTGACAGCAGCTGATTGACAGGTATGTCGTTACCATGACAACCAAAAGAGGGTACCTTTTTATCCTCTCTTTTTCTCTTCAGTCGAGAAATAAAAGGATGATTCATCTGCATCTGAATGGAGATTGACTGTGTCTGTGTGTGAACATCAGTGTGATTTTAGACAAAGCTGCTACACACACACACACACACACACACACACACTCTTGCTTTCTCAACAGTAGTGTCTGTCTGTCTGTCCCCACAGGGCTGGGTAACAGTCAGGGCCTCACAGGGTGATACAGGCACACACACACACACACACACACACACACACACACACACAGTAAATTGGCACATCAATGTCTCCAGGGTAAACCTCCAATTATTTCATTACTGCTGAATGCTGTGCTGTGATGGATCACACACACACACACACACACACACACACACACACACACACACACACACACATACACACACACTTTTCAGAACATCTGGGAGGATGAATAAAAAGTGATGTTAAAATCATGTCAACGTCAGCTTTACTACACTTGTTAATACACTTCTAAAGACTTGGTACTCTGGCCTTGACTCCTCTCTTGCTCTGATCCTCTCCTCCACTGGCACCTTCCACTTGTGGCTGAGGACTAGTCCTTCTGTCAGTCCTGACTCATTAACCGTATCTCGTCAGTAACATGAATTAACTTTTCCTTCCCATATTAGAACTAATGATGTCTGCACTCTGCACTGTTTCACCTGTCCTCATGATTCTCCTCCTCGCGAATTCTCTTTTTAAGATAATCTGTGATTTGAGACATTTCTGCAAAAAAACCCAAAAAAACAAATACTATGGGATGTAACGTTAATTTAGGAAACTGCTTTAGTTCATTTACTGCAACATGATGGGAGTTTAATATTAAATCTTATTATAACACACACACACACAACACACAACGCACGCACGCACGCACGCACGCACGCACGCACACACACACACCATGTTAATGGCTCCTGTGGCCAGTTACCTCAATTTGTCCTTCTTCAATGAATCAGCTGGTTATCAATACAAACTGAGCTCAGCCCATTATACACACACTGTTTGTGTGTGTGTGTGTGTGTGTGTGTCTCTACAGTATAAAGAAGAACCCTGTAAGGATGAGCTATGAGCTGTCCTCCTGAAAACACCCAATTACACCCTGGAGAATTGTGTGTGTGTGTGTGTGTGTGTATCAGCTTGTGTGCTGTATTGTTGTGAGTCAATAGTTTTGTGTGTGTTCAACAAAGTTTGGGTGTCAGTTTATAGAGTCAATTTATCTAACTTCTTCTGAACAGAGATCAGTGGGTTCACTGACATACACAGAGATCAGGGACTTGATGCTGGACTACAACAAATGTTTCATAACCGTTTTATTGATCCTCTTCTCCATCATGAACATGTTATCAAGTCAGCACGTAGAGAACAGAGACCCAATGGCGGACATGACGGAGAACCTGATGATTGGCAGATGAGTGTAAGAGCTGAACAAGAATATATTACCATTAGCTTGTCTGCAGGTTTCTCCTGCCAGTCCAGATGCAGCGCTTATGGCTCATGTCATCACAAGAGTGCACAGGTGATCAATTACACTGCTGTTCATCCACATCATTAACCTGATCACTGATCAATAACACAGATAATGAACTGAAGTATGTATGTATGTGTGTGTGTTTGTGACTTTATCAGCCTCATTCAGAACTCATTACCTCATCAAACACAAATATCTTGATCAGAGGAGCAGGGGATTGTGGGAAAGAGATTAAACAT